GAGACAGAGAGAGAGAGGAGAGAGAGAGAGAGAGAGAGAGAGAGAGAGAGAGAGAGGAGAGACAGAGAGAGAGAGAGAGAGGAGAGACAGAGAGGAGAGACAGAGAGGAGAGACAGAGAGAGAGAGAGACAGAGACAGAGAGAGACAGAGACAGAGAGAGACAGAGAGAGACAGAGAAAGGAAGCGAGGGGCGAGAGAGCGAGAGAGCACGCGTTTTCTCCCCTCTGAGGCAGCGGCAACGCGGACCTAGCGCGCTAGCCTTGGTCCTTCTATCCTCCCATCCTCAGCCGCCTCCCCCGCGGCAAAGCAGCCAAGCCCCCTGCAGGCATCCCGGGAGCTTCGGCTTGCTCCCCAGAACAGGCAGCATGAACACCAGCGAAGCCAAGGATTATCTGACCCGGAGGGAGATCCCCCAGCTTTTTGAGGTAAGGAACTGGAACAGGGAGAAGAGAACCTATGGGGTGTATGACTCGTGTGTGTGTGTGTGTGTGTGTGTGTGTGTGTGTGTGTGTGTGTGTGTGTGTGTGTGTGTGTGTGTGTGTGTGTGTGTACGAGCTCGCGCGCGCACGAGCTGGGCTGGGCTGGGCAGTTTCCTAGCCCTAGCTCAGGTTCATGGCTGGGGGTAGGGGGGGGTCGTCCCCGGTTCCCACGGCAATGCTGGGATGGCTTCCTAGAGGCATAACATCCTACCATCCCCACCCCCCATGCCTACCTCCAGCTCCAGACTGCTCAGCGCCTCTCCTTGCCCGAGGGGTGTGCTGGGAGCCTGCATTCTGCAGACCAAGTTTCATCTCCAGACCCAGGCTCTCCCCTGCCTGCCTTCCTCCTGCAGAAGCCCCAACCCCACCTCATGTGGATCTGGTCACTACACAGCAGGCAGGGGCCTAAGCCATTTGTCTAGGCGAGGAGATGGGGAGGAAGGTGGGTCAATGCTTGGAACACACACACAACACACACACACACACACACACACACACACACACTGACTGGGCATATAAACTGTAGGATTGGGAGTAGAGTTCTAGGCTGGCCAGGGAGAGATAGTCATTGGGGCAATAAGAGTGGGGAGAGGGACAGCAGGGAGCAGATGCCCACCTTGATAGATTTGCTGGGGGAGGGGGGAATGGGGCAGTGGAGACCGAGAGGGGGGAGAGGAGCCTTAACTGCCCTCTCAGTCCTCTGGTCCCTCTAGCGGCAAGGATGGGGGCCTCCCAGGTGACAGGCAGGCAGCCTGCTCTCTCACTCTCCCTCCTGTGCTTTTGGTGAATGAATGAACTCCTGAGCAGGTTTCTTATTAGCCTTCAGAGACAGCTGATTTCCCCTGCCGGAGCTCCCTGCCTTCTGCAGTGCTTCCTTTCATTCACTCTATCCAGACAGAAGAGGGATTGGATTATTTTCCACTGCTGTTGCTCTGTGTTCAATTCGAATATTCAATTCAAAGTGTTTTCAGTACCAGAGGTGAGAGAGGAAATATTGAGAGAGAGAAGAGAAAAGAGGCGAGAACAGAGGTGGAGAGAAGGACACAGAGAGGGAGAGACAGAGACAGAGGGACCTGAAGGAAGATGAGCATTTGTCAGCTCCTGCTCAGTGAAGAGTATTTCATTGAACACTTACCAAGAAAGTCAAAGGAACTCCTTGTGCTGGAGAAGCTTACATTCTGATGGGGGAGGGGGACAACATGTAAATTTAAAGCATGTAAATAACTGGGTCCATACAAGATACTTCCAGAATAGATGGAGGTGATCTGAAAGGAGAGGACATTGGTAACTTCCATCACAGATCAGTTTGCTTCTCCACACACACACACACACACACACACACACGCACCCTTTTTCTCCATATTGGAAATAAAATCATTCTGAAGTCATACTGGCTGATCATTCCTAAAGTCTGCGTGGTTTTGCTCGGGTAAAATTGGAAGGAAGCCTGTTGCATAGAACTGATGAGTGCTCAGCTGGAGTTGGAATTAGGGTTAGTCATCAAGGAGGGATGGTTAGGGCTGATGTTCTGAAAGATGATCAATCAGTATAACAAACTAACAAATATTTTTAAAAATTAAAATAGTTAAGACTACTAGGCTACTTGTAAATGAATAACTTCCTTAAATTCTCCCCAAATATTTAGAAAATGGGGCAGAAATGTCTAGAAAGTGGAACAACCCATCCTGATACTTGCAATCTCCTCTGAGAGGAGAACTCATCAGGCCTGAGAAAAGCTATGGTTTGGTAGCAAGGTCTGGGGAGTGGTCCGAGGCACACAGAAGGTAAGGGGTCCCACAGAGAGTGGATTCGAACGTGGGTCTGCTTGACTTCCCACGAGGTATGTGATCAGTCAGTCAATCCACTGACAAATTATTAAGGATCTCTCATCTGCCGGACACTGTGCTGAGCATGAGGGATGCAAGTCCAAAGAAGGAAACACCACCATTCCACAGGGCAGCTGGGCTCAAAGCCTTAGAGATCAACTCTTCCTTCTCCTTCACTCTCCTTTAGGCAGAGTCACAGAATTTGGGAGCGAAAAGGTGGCTTTCAGAGCCATGTAGTCCAGCTCACACGTGAAAGGAATCTCTAACATACTGGGAGTGGTTGGATACTGCTCGGAAACCTCCAAGCAGGGGAACCTACCACCTTGGGCCTGTTAATTCTACCTTCCCAGAATATATCCTGCCCAGTCCCTTCTCCACTCCAGAGGATGGTCACCACTCAAATTCAGAGTCTGGCCACCTCTTGCTGGGATTACAGCAACCACATTCTCACTGGTCTCCTTGCCTCCACTTTCTCCCTCTCCAGTCCATCTTCCACACGGCTGTGGAAATAACCCTTCTAAGGCACAAGTCTGATCATATCCCACCGAATCTTCAGTGGCTTCTCCCAAATCATAGAGCTAGCCCTGGAAGGAACGTTAAAGGAAGGGTGGCACAATGCAAAGAGGGACTGGTTCAAATCCTTGCTCTGCCACTGCCTGCCTGGGTGACCTTGGGCAAGTCACTGGACTTCCCTGGGTTTCCATTTTCTCATCTATACCATGAGGAAGCTGGACTAGTTAAGCTCTAAGGGCCCTTACTTAAGTTCTAACTCTCTGCTGCCAGAGATCACCAACGCAAACCCCTCATTATACACAGCAAGAAACTGAAGCCCCTAGGGGTCCAGTGACCTAGCCAGGTCCTGCAGACAGCAGTCACAGAGCCAAGGTTGGAAGCCAGGTTCTGTACACAGCACTGCCCTCTAATAATGCAAGCCGACCAATAGGATAGTCTATCAATGAACAAATATTTGTTAAGCCCCTACTGTGTTCCGGGCCAATGGAATGAAACTTGTTTAAAAAAAAAAAAAAGAGTGCTCAGGACCGCAGTGCCTGGCACATAGGAGGTGCTGTGTGTAACTGCTTATTCTCTCCTGCCGTCAAGGAGTTTCTGTTCTATCAGGAGAGATAATGTCTACATATATAAGCACATGCAGAAAAATTACTAGGTGATATGGGGTGGGGTACTCTAGCATGGGAAAGGACCAGCTTAGGAAAAGACTTCCCACAGCAGGTGACTCATGAGCTGAGTCTGGAAGGGATGAGGCATTCTGAGAGGAGGGTGTGCATCCCAGCCAAAGGGGACACCTAATGACGGGCAGGCATAGAGATGGGAGAGCCAGGCAAGGTCAGTTTGCCTGCACCACAGTGTGCTGGAGGGAGGGCGATCGTTGAAACCAGGCAGAAAGCGAGTTTGGGCTGGGTGGCCAAAGGCCCACTGCCAAAAGCTACCAGGGATCCGGCACTTCGGGGTGCAAAGCACTTTGCACAGGTTGCCTCTAAATGCACAACAGAAGAGCTGATGTTGCAGCTGGGGAAGAAGAGAGCCCCAGAGCCCCAGAGAGGAGCCTCATATTGAGACCCAGGTGGGCTTAGGGATCTCTCTTTGGTCAAGGGTTCTTTGCCTTGGGTCCTTGAGCTTTATCTATAAATTTCCAATGCCATATATCTCATTTTATGCAGACAAAAACGTCCCTCTGAGATGGGTTTCTTTGGTTTTCCAGACTGCCGGGAGATACATGAAGCAGCTGTGTAGAGGGTGGATGGGGGTGGGTAGTGGGGGTGGGGCCGAGGCCAAGGAAACCAATCAGAAGGCGCAACTATGGCAGGCTTCTATTCTGGGTTGGGGTGGGGTGCGGTTGTTAATGCAGCCAACATTGTAGAAATGCACTCTCCACTTCAGAAAACCCATTTAGTTTTGATTTCATCTACCAGTCAACAAGCATTTATTAAGCACCTCCTGTGTGCTGAGTACTATGCTAAGCACAGAGATAGAACAAAGGGTAAAAGACAGTCCCTGCCCTCAAGAGGCTCACAGTCTAATGGAGAGACAACGAGTAAACAATTAGATACAAACAAGAGATCAAGATAGATAGGTAGATGGATGGATAGATAGATGGATGAATGGATAGGTAGATAGATGATGAATGGAGGGATGGATGGATAGATGGATGGATAGGTAGATTGAAAGATAAATACATACACACATATGTATGCATACTATATACACACACATACATACACACATATGCATGTATGTGTGTATATGTGTGTATATACACATATGATATGTTGGAAATAATCACCTGAGGAGAGGCATTGTATTCAGAGATGTTGAGAGGCCTCTTATAGAAGACAGAGTTTAGCTGGGCCTTGAAGGAACTTGGGACGTCCAGGAGCTGAAGAGGGAAGGAGTATCAGGCATGAGGGACTTCACTGAAATGTCTGGAGTCTGGAAATGGAGTGTCTTATGCACAGAAAAGCCTGGAGGCCTGTGTCACTAGATCCAAGAGCGTGCAGAGGTGTAAGAAGCCTGGAAAGGGAGGAGGCCAGGTTATCAAGGGCTTAGACCCCAAACTGAGAATTTTGTATTTGCTCCTGGGGGCCATAGGGCACCTGGGGTAGGGGTGGAGAGGTTATTTGGCAGGTGCTTTAGGAAGATCACTTTGGTGTCTGAATGGACTAGAGTGGAGAGAGACTGAGGCAGGCAGAGCCGCTCCCCCCCCAACAGCAGCCATTGTGCTAGTCCAGGCATGTGGATATAAGGGTCTGAACCAGGGTGGGGGCAGCATCTGAGGAGAAAAAGGGGCACATTCAAGAGACGCTGCAAAGGGGAAATCAGCAGACTTTGGCGACCTCTTGGCTATGGGGAGGGGGGTGAATATGTGAGAGATTGTGAGGAGTCAAGAATGACTCCCAAGTGGGGAATCTGAGGACCTGGGAGGGTGGTGGTGCCTTTGACAGTGACAGGGGAGGCTGGAAGAGGGGAGAGTTTGAGGGGAAAGATAATGAGTTCAACTTTGGACATGTTGAGTGTGTGATGCCTAAAGGCAGCTGGAGATGAGACACTGGAGGTTGGGAGACGCAGGGGCTAGACCATAGAGATGATGCTTGGACCTTTGGGAGCTGATCAGTCTTAAGCATAGAGGAGCAGAGAGCTCAGGCCAAAGAGACCCCCAGGGTTAGAGAGCACGACCTGGAAGAAGATCTAGCCAAGGAGCCTGAGAAGAGCAGTCAGACAGGTGGGAGGAGAACCTGGACACAGCAGTAGTTGACCACCAGGGAGAAGAGGGTCTATGTCAACGGGGGCAGAGAACTTCCGAAGGATGGGGACTGAGGAAAGGCCTTGGATTGGCAACTAAGAGACCATTAGTAACTTTGTGGAGAGAGAGTGAAGTGAGTCCCCACAGCTTTACGGAAGCACAAGACTGTTTAGGCGTCTTCACTAATTATTTAGGCAAATGCTTCACCCCAATTTTGCCTTCTGTTGGCAGCCTCAGTGGCCATGTTTGATAGGTCTCATTTTGAAGTATCTCTGTGGTTTTAGAGCATCCCATCATAGATCTGGGGCTGCAAGATATCTTAGAACGTAGCTACCTAAGGAAGCGTCTTCGTTTTACTGATGAGGCACCAGAGGCGGAGACGGAGCATGCCTTGCCAAGATCCCAGGAGGCAGGATTTGAACTGAGATCTCTGGCCCTCAGCTCAGCCCTTTTCCCACACTGCCACAAGACAAAGGTGTCTTTTCATTGCATTCTTCCTTGATTTTTATGTGATATTTTATCATTTAGAGAGTCATGCTACTTGCTTTTATGTGTATTTCATAGTGGAGATTTTGCAAGTAATTTGAATAGTGTACATCAGGCATTCTTATCTGTTTCTGAACATAAGCCTATGGACCCCATGAAAGAATAATGTTTATAAGTGAATAAAAGAAAATATATAGGATTGCAATGAAGACCAAAGATATTGAAGTGCAGTTATCTATATATTTTTCATTGCCATTCAGTCATTTCAGTTGTGTCTGACTCTTCATTACCCCATTTGGGGTTTTCTTGGCAAAGATACTGGAGTGGCTTGCCGTTTCCTTCTCTAGCTGATTTTAGAAATGAGGAAACTGAGGCAAACAAGGTTAAACAATATATGTACTCATTTAAAAAAAAAAAACAAGTTATCAGACTTTAAGTTAAGAACCCCTGGTGAAGATAAACAAGTGATTCAGATCTTCAAAGGACCAAATCATGCATATGTGTATGTGTGCATATGTCTATATGCATGTGCACACGCACATACATACACGTGTGCACGCACACATATGCAGCTCGTGATATTCATAGCCAAAGCAGCTAATGGGGCTTTGTCCCAGGATGCTAACAGGTGGTGACTGGAGGTGGAGATCTATGGGCATCTGGAGTCCTGAAGTGTAGCTTACCCTAAAGGCAGTCCTCACCTGGCACCATGGTGCCAGGAGAATTGTTATCTTCCAGTCCTGACCATAGGTATCAGTTTCCTGGTGGTCTTTGTTAGATAAAGAGGCAGGGCTCAAACTAACGAGATCACAAGTCTTCCTCCCTCCACCCAGTCCCCTGCTCCACTGCTCTGTCATGATTTTCCTTTCCTAAGGAAGTTTGGAAATAGTCATTCATTCCACTGGCTTTTGTTGAGGGCCTCTTAACTATAAGAGTCGAATTACTCTGTTAGTCATTGAATGTCCTTGACCATCTGCTTCAAGCCAGCTACCTTTCCAGGCTTTTCACAGATTTCTCCCTTTTCCCGATTCTATGGTCCAGTCAAGCTGACTTCCTCCTTATCTTGTGCGTCCCCTCATACCCTTCATACCTAGAAGGTACAACCTCCTCACAGTTGCCTCTTAGCTCCTCTCTCCCCTTTTAAAACTGAGCCTGAAGGACAGCCCTTCAGGATGACTTTCTTCATTCCCCCCACTCCCTCCCCCCCAGCTGCTTCCTCTCACCCTGAAATCACCGATAAATCTGATGGTCACTTCTATGGGTATGTGATGGGATCAATCCCTTTAGACGGTTTCACTGCTGTCATTGAGTCCTTAGTGGTTAGACCAAAGCCTTGCCCAGAATTGCCTCTGAATAGCTGATTGCTGAAATGAAGGAAGGGAGGCATGTGGCTGCTGCCACCATGTTAAAAGACCTTCATTTTCACCCATCTCAGAAAGCGGCCTGCTTCGGGTCCATTCCAAAACTCTGGCCTGGCACACAGTGGTCACTTTGTGCCGGCTTGTCACTTGGTCAGTCTATTGATTGAGGAAAGGAAGTCCAGGTTCTGCCTTTGAGGAATCGTTGAGTTTCAAGTGTGTTTGGGACTGTGGACTCTAGTGTGGTGTGGATGGACGTGCCTCACTAACACCCTTCTGAACAATCAAGTTGCAACATTATCCATCAACAAGCACTAATTAAGCAACTTCTCCATGCCATCTGCTCCATAAAACTTGACTTTAGGCAGAACAACATTTCAAGGGGCTGTCATTACCATACACAAAAAACAATGGTATAAATATTAGATGTGGGTCATCAGTTGAATAAGGAAGATTTGTCGTGATTTGTTAGTGCCAGTTATTAGGGTGACTTTGGGCAAATCATGTCTGACTCCGAGCCAGCACCCTTTCCACCAGGCGGTTACCTCTGGGGGCAGCCAAAGTCCTAGGATGACAGGAAGGGGCCTCCCTGAGATGACCCCTCCTTTTACCAGGGAGGAAACTGAAGCTGAAAGAGATTGAAGGGACTTGCTTAATGTCACAAAACCAGGATTCGAACCCTGACCATCCAACTCCAAATGCTGGCCTCTTCCCCATACTGTGTCCTACTGAACAACAGTGATGATGCATAAGGCTGTTGACCCCAATGTAAACCCATTCAGTTCCATGGAATGCCCAAAGGATATGTATTTTACACTAGTAAGAGTTAACACGTATGCAGTGTTTCAAGGAACTTAATAAATATTATCTCATTTGAGCCTCCCAACAACCCTGGGAGGGAGGTACTATTACTGTCCCCATTGTACAAGTGAGGAAACTGAGGCAGACAGAGGTGAAGTGACTTGCCCAGGGTTACTTAGTCAATATGTTTCTAAAGCAGGATTTTGATTCACGTCTTCAAGACTCCAAGTCCAGTGGTCTAACCACTTTACCACCTAGCTGTCCCACAACACAGTCATGCACCACAATGGTGGTCTTGATACCTGAAGTAACACCTCCCATGGGGAGGATCAGAGTCATAAGCCAACGTGGTGAAGTGGGCAGAGCGCTGAGCACAAGGGAGACCCAAGTCTGAGGCCCCTCAGGTCCTTCTTAGCTGGATGTCCCTGGGCAGGTCATCCATTTGTCCCTGGCTCTCGCCAGGTTCAGCGAGAGGTTCCTTTCGCACTCAGAAGCACTCTTTGCAGGTCCACTATGATGGTTACTCAAGTTCATGCAGGAGTTGATTGAGGCCACAGTTCTCAGGACAGGTCTGTCAGTTCTCCGCTCTACCTGGGTCTGTCACAGACACCTGGATTATTGGGGGGGGTGTGGAGGAGCATGGAACCATCAGTCTAGAGCCAAAAGTCACCCCCAAAGTGAGTCCAAAGCATCTCTTTTGTTGAGGAAGGACCCATGTGAGTTGGAGGTCCATGCTCCTCCCGTGCTCTCCACATCTCCCTGCCACAAATTAAGCCACAATGACCATTTTTGAGGTCCAGCTTTGGTATTTGGAGCCAGGGCTCTTGTCAAATTGAAAAACCCTAGTAAGTTATTATACTGTCTTCACACAAGTGCTTCGTAGGCTGAAAATATCAGCACTCAAACTGTCTATAGATAAAATACTGGATTGAAAAATGGTTCATCCAGGGACTGGGTGAACCTAATGACTTAGCTTAGATGGTCCATCTTTTCATTTTTACACCCAACAACAACCCCAGCTAAAAACTGAAGCTCCAGCTAAATAATGGGCAGCTCTGAGAGCTATATATTCAATCAACAGAGCTTTATAAAGCTCTTACTGTGTGCTAGGTAGGCATTGTGCAAAGCCCTGGGCATACAAAGACAAAAAGAAACAGCCCCTCCCCTCAAGAAGCTTCCATTCTATTGGAGCATCTATCTAAAGACTGAAATGAAGGCGGCTGCTGATAGATATGCCTGGTCTCTTCTGTCCTTGCTTTTCAGAGTCTGTTAAATGGATTGATGTGTTACAAGCCTGAAGACCCAGTAGAATATCTCGAGAGCTGCTTACAAAAGGTCAAGGAACTGGGAGGACCAGAGAAGGTGAAATGGGACACTTTTGTCGGCCAAGAGAAAAGGACGTTACCTCCCCTCAATGGCGGACAGTCCCGAAGATCATTTTTAAGAAACGGTAACGTATATGGAAACTCCTGGGCAGTCTTATGTCTAGAATGTCCCTTTTAAAAAGTCGGGCTTCATCTTTGGCTGTGGTGAGATTAATTGGATTTTGTAATCCAGGCTGGACAATTTGGAACAGACTCTTTTATTTTTCTAGTATTTCCACAGGAAAACCAAATAGCTGGACTTTATAAAAAAATTAATAGCAGGCAACTTTGATTAAATTTTACATTACTAAGGCTTTATTACTTTATAAAACCATAGCACATGGGCAAACTGTCCATTATTCTCAATGTTTCAAATAAGACCTTTCTAACCAAATGAATTACGCATTCTTAATCATTACAAATGGATCCATTCTCAAAGGGCTCTCTGATGATCCCATTGAGCAACCACAGTAGAGGTGGATAGAGATCCCCCACCTGTCCATGCCTGTCCATTCTGTGACTCCTGTCTGTGCATTTCTCTAAGGTCACCTCTCCCTACAGTGCTGGGGGCCTCCCTTATGACATCACCAAGAGAGCAATGGATGGGAGCGGGGGGAGGGCAGCTCATGGTCATCCTTCAGGACGGCTCAGTCCATCTCTTCTTTCTATCCTGCTTCTTGTTACTTCTCTGGTATAATTCCTCATTTGAAATGTGCCGCAGCCTCCTGTGTTCCCTAATAATAGCAATTATATAACAATTCACAACATTTCATAAAACTGAGCCATGATTTATGCTTATTAATATAAATGGCCAATTTAGAGTTTGTGCAGATATAAACACACAAAGGCATAAGAACCTTCATTCATTCATTTCCATAGCATTTGTTAAGCATCCTTGCCCAGGTATTGTTGGTCAGACCCATGGATGACCCATGGATGTGGGGATGCTTCATTAGAAGTAGTGTCTCCTCACTACTGTGGGACCCTGGGAAAGTCACTTCTTTCTTTTCGGTTTCATTTTCCTCATCTCTAAAATGGGAGGGGTTGTTTTTTTTTAGAAGATAGGATATTTATTTCACCTTAAATGTCCATTTGCTGATCAAAAGCCTCCATACTTCCTGGAGTAACCTATGAAAAATTTCCAATATTCCAGAAATGATCAAATATCACCACTGGCTCCACCAGCAGTACTTGTCATTAAAGAGCTTGTAGCTGAATAGATAATATAATTATGCAAAAGTACCCTTGAGAAATAGGAAGTTAGAATAGAAAGTACGAGACTGATTTCTCATTGCTGTATTGCCACACTTTACATATGCAAGTAAATTCTCATTTAATTTAACAAACTTATTAAGCACCTACTTTATGCAGGGATAAAACCATGAGTCTAGACTATGTGTGCGTGTGTGTGTGTGTGTGTGTGTGTGTGTGTGTGTGTGTGTGTGTGTGTAAACAAGGCATTGTGGCAGGTACTGAGAATACCCAGACAAAAGCAGATAAGTCCCTGTCCTCAAGGAGCCCACAAGCTGTATATCACCAAATCTTTGATATTTCTTCAGCTCTCTTGACGTAGACACTCATTCCTATGGCATGATTCACTTGAGTTCACTTCAGATTAATTCAGTTCAATATGACAAACATTTATCGAGCCCGTTCTGTGCCAGGCACCATATTTCCAGCTGCAGATCTCTTCTCCCAAGGAGTTCACCACCCATCCATGCAATCTCATTCCCCTTGAGTTTGGTCAAGCTCTTCTGTCGATCCTCCACTGTGGGCACTCTCGGTGAAATGAATGATGCAAAAGCTGTGCCTAGTTGTCCTAGCTCAGGCTCTGTCCTGGGATGTGGTCTGTGTTTCTACAGGGTTATGAAAAGGCTTTGGAAACCCAAGGCCCTGGGTTAAGTAACGCAGATCAGTTTTCCCCACGTACTCAGGGCCATTTTAATTCTTAGACTTTTTACTACTCACAAAGATGGATAGGCTGGCTTGGGTTCAAGAAGGCAGCCCCAAGTTTTATTCATAGACCAGAGAAGACTAATTCACCAAGAACCAAACAATTAAAAATGGCCCCCAACAAAGGTGGGGGAAGGGAAGGCCAATGGACTGAATTCAGCCTGTCTAAATTGAGTCTTGTGGAAGCCCTCTAAGTGCTTGATGACTACCTGAGGGCCCCTAGCAAGTCCCTGCTTAGGGGCCCTATTTAGCAAATGACCCCATGAAGCAGAAAGTGTCACTGTTGCAGGTAGTGAGAAGGCCTGCATTTTCCAAAAGGACCCAACTGACTTCCTGGAGAGCACTTTTAACACTCACTCAGAAACTCTAATTCAGGGTTTAAGAGATGAAGTCACTTATACACACAACCGGGTTCTATTCTTTTCAGTGTGTCTCAAAATTCTTGAAACAACTAAATTGAACAGGTTTCCTATTGGCACAAAGGCAGCCTTTAAATTGTAAATCAGGGAGCAACAGAGGGAAACCTCGACCATGGTGAGGGCCTTCTAAAAGGCTCCTCTGCTCGCCTTGATTAGGAGGGGGTTGGGGGAAGTGAACAAGAAGAATTACTGGAAAATTAGGGTCAGGTTCATGGTGGAAAAAAAATTGCCAGCTTCTTCCTAGCATCTTCTAACTCTTAACACTCAGCTCAGTTGGCCCCAAGATGCTCTAATTAATGAACCACTTTCGCCTTTTCCCATAATTGTCGCTACAGAATTCTGCAGGATTGGGCTAATTAGCTGTCACAATGGCTTCTATATCTGGAAAATATGCCACCAGACACATAGGGAGCAACTTACCATCTGTTTTTTAAGAAGAAAATCTAGTTTTTGTTTTGTTAACTTCAGTATAAGTTTGTTATCCCAAAGTTCCAATGGATTGTGCATGTGTTTAAGAGCATCTTCCCTCCAGTGGTACAGATTGCAACCCTTCTGTGCATGTCTTCAGGTCCTACCAGGGTTTGTAGCCCATGTTCTGGAGAAGGGTTGTCCTTGGGTTCTCTTGACCTTAAGACTGGTGAACATTGGAAATTAAAATGAAATGAAAAGTCTCCTTGTTTGCAGAATTTAAGTTACTCCTGAATTTCATGCCCAAATGTTGCCAGAATTGTCTTCAGGGAGAATTATCAAATGAAACAATTTTGTACAATAACACATTTCTACGCCCAATCAAATGATGGTTTATGGGTCTCATAATCATGTAAGACTAAATCTTGGAGGAAAGAGAATTCTTAAAGTGAAGCCTGGAAGGCGATTCTGATTTGTTTGCATCCACCTTCACCCATATCCTGATGAACATGGATGCCACATTGTATTACAGACAACAGCTCCTGACTTGTGGCCAGGACTTTGCTGCTGTGACCATGCTCCAGGCTCTGGGTGGGGAAAAATCCCTAGACTCCATCTCATCTTGAAAGTGAATTTGAAATGAAAGTAAGTCGTGACCTAGTGGTAGTGGAATCTCCATCTGGCAAGGCTGCTCCTACCACAGATGGCACAGCTTGCTGCCAGCCCAGACTGGTATTGATGCATCTCAAGATAAGAGTCCAGTGTTTGGATGACAATCCTTGCTTTTCCTTTCAGCTCAGGGTGGGAAGTGGGGGGCTTCCTGAAGGCCAGGCCAATGGGGCAGAGGTTGAAACCTTCAGGCATGATGCCAACACCATGCTTGATATCCAAGGGCCAGACTGGCTGAGGATGGGCAGATAGGCAGGTCACTGGATTATTGCCTCAGGGGTCTGACTCTGTGGTCCTAAGGCAGATTAAAAAATCACACCAACATTTCTCAAATAAAAATATGATAGACCAGGGCAGAGTCATTAGTTAGCTATTCACTTAGGTAAGCACCTCACTATTTTGTCCTTGGTTCATCTTGGATGCTAAGGCATAGGGAGGCAGAGCTGCTCACCCATAGTAACTCCTCACCCAGAAAGCAGGATCACTTGAGTATCCGGCCCTCAGCTCCAACTCCCTGGTCTAATCCCAGAGCAGTTCACCTCCTGACTAACCTGTCTCCATCAGAGGTACCTCCTTCTCCTAGTCACAGACCAGTCACTGACATAGAAGTTTGAGGCAGGAACCCGAGGGACCCACAGAGCTCTCTCATCTTTCCCCACCCTCAACTTTAGTTTCTGCCCTAAACCTCCTCTCTTCTTACTACAACCACTCACCTACTTTGAGACCACACGTGGCCCTCTAGATCCTCAAGTATGACCCTTTGACTGAATCCAAACTTCACAGAACAGATCCTTTCATTAAGAGAGACTCTATCCCAAAAGCATTCCTTAGGCTGTTGTTTGGGAAGCACTGTGTAAGCACCAGGCGGTAATACCTGGATATGCTAGACACAATTCTTTTCCTGAAGGGACCCACAATCTTCATAGGGCAGAGAAGATGGTCAGAGATAATTATCATTCAACAGAGAATGCTACTGGAGGAGTGTGGTGTAGCAGATAGAAGACCTGCTCATCCTTTCTTATGGAACAATAGTATTCCATTACATTCGTATACCACAACTTGTTCAGCCATTCCCCAATTAATGGACATCCCCTCAATTTCCAATTCTTGGCCACCACAAGAAGAGCTGCTGTGAATATTTGTGTATATGTGGGTCTTTTTCCCATTTTTATGGGAAAAACCATTGACCATTTTATGGTCATTTTTATGACCTCTTTGAGTTACAGACCTAGCAGTGGTATTGCTGGGTCAAAGGGTCTGCACAGTTTTATAGCCCTTCAGGCATAGTTCCAAACTGCTCTCCAGAATGGTTGGATCAGTTCACAACTCCACCAACAATGCATTAGTGTCCCAGTTTTCCCACATCTTCTCCAACATTTAACATCTTCCTTTTCTGTTATATTAGTCAATCTGATAGGTGTGAGATGGATACCTCAGAGTTGTTTTAATTTGCATTTCTCTAATCAATAGTGATTTAGAGCATTTTTTCATATGACTATAGATAGCTTTAATCTCTTCATCTGAAAACTTCCTGTTCATATCCTTTGACCATTTATCAACTGGGGAATGACTTGCATTCTTATAAATTTGACTCCATTCTCTATATATTTGAGAAATGAGGCCTGTATCAGAAACACTGGCTGTAAAAAATGTTTCCCTTCTAATCTTGGTTGCACTGGCTTTGTTTGGAACCAGGAGCCAGCATAGTATCTGGCACATAGAAAGTCCTTAATAAATAACTATAGGATTTAATTTGAGCTCCTAGAGGGAGGAGCTACGTCTCATCTCTCATGCAGGGCGACATACATAATGAGCACTTGATTGTTTAGCAAATGAATCAATGGGCACTGTCATATACATTAAATCCAAATAGAATTAAATAGAATTATATAGAGAATTATAATTAAATCCAAAATAATCCAAATCCAAAATAATGCAAAGGATACATGAATTAATGGTAAAGATTGGAATCCTGCCATTTTCCTGTCCAGAGCTGGGATTTCCTCAGCCTGGGGCACTCCCTCTCCCAAAGCATACTAGGGTTAGGAACCCCCAAGAATACTGAACAATTATCCCAGCATGCAAATTCTTTCCTATCCTCAAGCCACTCTTGGCTTAGTTCTCAGAGTCAGGGTGGGAGGTACTATATGGAGCACAGTGTCAGGCACCTTAATAGTCAGCCCTTAATAGATGCTGATTGCCTGGTGCCTATCACATAAGCATAGCTTCCCCCAGTACCTTTATAAATATGTGAAGTCTCTTAAGTGAGTTTCCCTGAGGCATGGAAATTAGGCTTTTAGATTCTTTTAAAGTAAGCAATTAACCAAGCAATCAATTAATCCAAAGAGCTATAACTAGCCATTTTGACCCCTAAGGCAAACAGAATGAAGTACCAATCAGGGTAACTTTTAAAGACAAAGATGACTGTTGGGGTGGGGGCCGTGTATGGAAGCCACTGAGCCAGGAGCAGGGCTGGGCTCAGCTCTGAGGTGTCCACTCCCAGTAGCTTTCTATTTCACTTAATGAGTGAATACAAGTCATAACAGTGCTTTCTAAAGTTTGGTGCTCTGAGATTCAATTCAATTCAATAAACATTTATTAAGTGCCTACTATATGCCAGGCAATGTGCTAAGCACTGGGGATACAAAAAAAAGGAAAAAGACAGCCCTGCCCCCAAGGAGTTCACAATCTAATGTGGGGAAGGGGGAGGGGAACAACAGACAAACAAATCTATACAAAGCCAGCTCTATACAGAATAAACAGGAAATAAGTAACTGGGGGAAGGCACTGGAATTTAGAGGGGCTGGGGAGGCTTCCTGTAAGAGGTGGCATTTTGTGGTTTGTCCTTCATTCTCAAAGAGGACCTTGACGTCAGGGAGGTGATGCTATGACCTGCAAGTGAATTGGATGTAAGTGAGGGAGGGCTGTGCAGTCACCAGCCTCACTCTCTCCTCCGGAGCCATCTAGGTCCAGTGACCAGATATCCTTCAGGATAACTGGAGATGGCCCCAATGCGGTGGATGACCTTGGCCTTTTTAAGCTAAGGTCTTTAACAGGTCTCAATATTGCCTCATTGACTGAGGCAATGCCCATAAATGAGGCAAAGAATGGCCTCTTTTACCTAGTAAAATGGAGGAGAAGAGAGGGGAGGGCAGGGGAGGGGAGGAGATTTTTTGTTGGGACTTGAAGCCAGAGAAGGCTGGAGTTGGAGCAGAGGAGGGAGGAGGGAAGGCATGGGGACAGCCAGAGAGAATGCCCTGTGATAAAACCGATCGCCCTACCCTAGTTATAGCTGTGTTTATTTAGATCTTCTCTGGCTTCTTGCCTCATGTGAGAAATGTTCAAACCTCCACCTCCTTTCCTGTTTCAAGGTAATCTTACTTTTTTGCAGTGATGCCTGAAAATGCTAACTTTCCTTACCGGCGATATGATCGGCTCCCTCCAATCCATCAATTCTCCATAGAAAGTGACACTGACCTTTCAGAAACAGCTGAGCTCATTGAGGAGTACGAGGTTTTCGACCCCACCCGACCACGACCCAAAATCATCCTGGTCATAGGTAAGAGTGTGGATTCTCTAGTAATTGCAGAATTGCTAACCTGAATTTCTATAAAAGCTCCAACAATTCGCTTTGTTACACATTGCAAATGTGTTTTAGGAAAGGGATAAAAAGTACAATATAACCAATCTTCCACCCTAGAACTGCAAAAAAAAAATCAACCAAAAGTTGACAGGCAAAGGGGGCCTGCCTGCAAAGCCAGCTCCAGGGCAGCAAAGAGGATGCAGATATTCAGCCAGGCCTGGGGTATCTGGAGGCAACAAGAGCTGAGTGCCGATCCAAGGGAATCCCAGGAAGCCCTGGGAAGAAGCAGCAAACGATGTAACATGGCCAGGATCAGATGAGGACAGACCAGGTCTGGGGAACCCCTAACACTGTCCAGAGATGACAGAGAGGGGCCAGAAAATGGGGGGAGGGGTTAATGGGAGGAGGAGGAGGGCAACATAGTCACCCAGACCTAGGGTAGCACACCTGAAAGCATGGCAGGGGCAGACTCTGACCTGGAAATGAAGCCACAAAACCTGGAAAGATAAGTAACAAAAGAAAATAATAATTGATAAAAAACATTATTTCAAATCTAGAGATTCTCCTCCCAAAAGGAGCAAATAAGGCTCTTAATAACATCAAGCAGAGATTCAGAGGAAAAATGGGTGTTCCACAAGGACTACATTAATATCTAGAAGAAATAAAGCAAGGTATCTTTTTTAAAAAAAATGGAAGAAACCGCTGGAGGAAAGAATTGGAAGGATAATAAATAGTTTAGAAGAACAAGTGGGAAACCTTACCCAAGAAATGGAATCCCTGAAAATGAAAATAGACCAAAAAGAAATCCAGGTCTCTATACAAACAGCAAGAAATATTTGAACAAAATCAAAACCTTGGGGGGGAAATGTAAAATATCTGATATCAAAAATGACTGACCAGGAAAACAGTGCCAAGGAGAGATTTAAGAATCAATGGACTCTTTGAAAACCATGACTTCAAAAAAAAAAAATTCCCCTTCTGAAAGGATTCAGAAGTAAGTGTCCCAGGAATGTCACAATGAAAAGCCAAAACTCACATCAAAGAAAAATAAATGCTGCAAGCCTCTGGAAGGAACCGAGGTCAGGATCATGTCAACAAACATTTATTGAGTACCTACTGTGTGCCAGGCACTGTGATAAGCATTGGGGCTACAAAGAAAGGCAAAAACAGTCCCTGCCCTCAAGGAGCTCACAATCTAATAGAGGAGACAGTATGCAAACAACTATGTACATAAGAGAGATGCTCAGGATACAATGGAGATGATCCGCAGGAGGAGGCAGGAGAATTCAGTGGGATTAGGAGAGCCTTCTTGGAGAAGGTGGGACTTAAAGGAAGCCAGGAGGCCTAGATGAGGAGGGGGAAAGGTCCAGGCACAAAGGACAGCCAGGGAAAATGCCCAGAGCTAAGAGACGGTGTGTAGTCTGAGGAGCAGGCAGGAGGCCAACGTCACCGGATGGAAGAGGACCTACAGGGGACAGAGGTGTGAGAAGACTGGAAAGGATAGAGGGGCTCAGGTGGTGAAGGCTCAGAGGATTTTATATTGGATCCTGGAGGTAATAGGGAGCCATGAGGAGTACTGAATGGGGGAAGGGGGAGCCACGTGTTCAAAGTTATGGTTCTCTATCTATTTATCATCTATCTCAATCTATCATCTACCCACCTCTCTATCTGGCTGTTTATCACCTATCTACATCTATCCACCTCTCTCATATGTGGCTAGCTAGCGGGCTATCACCATGACTGTATGAGTAAGACATTGCAGGATGACAGACTGGAAAGTGACCTCCTAGGAAGCATTATGAAATTCATAAGAACTGCTAATGTACAATGAACCATGAAGTTTGATTGTTGAAAGTGAGGTTTTGTCTGATGGCTAAATCTTTTAGACCCAAAAGACAAAGAAAAGATGACTCATGAAAAGCTGGTTTTATAGGTCAAGTCTAACTGAGAATTATTTCTTTATTTCCACCATGGATAAAGGGACCACAAAACATTTCCAATGAGTCACCTTTTACCTGGTGAAACATCTCCTTGACTTAGTGCCATCATTTAATGCCCAAGTAAAGGCTGTCTGCAGTGTCTGCCCATGAGCTGCTGCTGATTGGGACCTTGTTACCACCCTGGGAAACTGGAGTTGAGGCTCTGTGAAGATGACCTCATTCTTAGTTGTACAGGTGATCTCTATAGCATGAACATGAGGTCATTTTTTTATTTGCTATGAATTTATGGGTTATTTTAGTTTATGTGCATACGAATTTATGTTCGTCCCGTGGAATGTAAACTCTTTGAGTGGACTGACCTTTGGGGGGATCTTTGTATTCCCCATGTTGGGAATATAGTGTTGGGTCAAGGTAGGAGCTTCATAATGCTTGTTGAATGAATGACTAAGCATGATTAATAATAGTTCTAGAAATTAAGATTAACAAAAAGAAAACAATCTTTGTGAAATGGAAACTCTGGGAGGGCAGGCATTGTTCATTTGGGTCTTCGTACCCCACCCGACTAGTGTGGGGCCGTTCAAATAGTAAGTGCCTCATCAAGGAGAAACGAAGTTAACTAGATGGCTTGGAGGGCAGAAATAAAAAGCCATTTTGGTGACTTTGCCAAAGCTTCTTGGTTTTGTTTTACAGACAAATCAATTTGCCCCAAAGACAAAGAAACAAGACTAGAATCTTGGCTGCCAGAGGCACTGTAGTCTCTAATGTGTCACAAGATCATTGTTGTCCCCGTGGGGTTCAGCAAAGGCATTTGGCCTGATCCCAACATGGTTTTAGAGTTACACACAAACACTGCAAGTACCAAGACCACGTTTCCCTTTGCCTGCTTCCAAAAATGGTACTTAGTCAGTTAAAGAAAGAATGGGCACCAATGGAATGGTGTCTGAATGAAGAGGCCTTTGTCTGGGATTGATCGCCTCTCTCACCCCGGTGTGGGGGTCAAATGAGAGAAGCTTTGTAAAGCACTTAGTAGGACCTGGCACATAGTAGGTCTGAATAAATACTTGTTCCTTTCCTGCCTTGTGCCACTGAATTCAAACAAGGCGCGTGGTTGGTTTAGGATGCATGTCCATTCAATTCCATTTGATCAATGACCACGCACTCAACTCCACCACGTACAAGGCACCATGCTAGGCAGCCTTCTTCTGAAGCTTCTGAAGCTGAGTCTATTCATATTGAAATTAATGAAGAAAGTCTTCCAAGGAACTACTGAGAATTACCAGAGGCAGACACAGAAATGAGAAAGGAGTGGGATCCCCTTTGTCCCCACTTAGTGTAGGTAGTTACTGGGGTACAGAGGGAGAGGGAAGGTGAGATTGCTGTCTGAAGGTATTCTAAAGTCATTCAACCGACAGCTTCACCCTCTCAAAAACCGTTAGCAGTTACGTGTGTGGGTGTGTGTACACAAGCCAGTGTGTAGAGGAGTAGGGGGGTGTTTCCTTTATTTCAATAAGAGGTAGCCTGTTCTCAGGTTCTGGAGATCATAGACCTAGTTAGCCTGGAGGCTTTCTTTTCTTTCTTTTCAGCTTCAAACAGATAAGAGCTGAGGCCCCACAGAGGCGCTGAGATTTGTTGAAGGTCATTTTCAGCAATCTTTTTTCTTTTGGTCTTGTTTGTGCTTTGAAACAGTAACTGCTACTTCCTTTGGAAGATGGCTCTGACTCCTTGGTGACTTGAATATGTAGACAGTGTCTCACTCCATGGATTTGTCAATAATCTTACTTTCTGTGGGTAATTAGAGGGATGACCTAGCCTCCTGGATGGTGGAGGGCATTGGAACAGGGCAGGACAGTCTTTTAGTGCCTCGAAGGAAGGAGAAACAGAGCAGGCAAAGAAGTTAATGGAATTCTCATTCTGAGTTGGCGGGGGCCATCTGAAGTCACTCAGTCTGACCCAGATCTGAACAGATATCCTCTCTGTAATATCCCTGACCTGTTGTCATCCTGCAATAAAGAATCCACACCCCAGGCCCTAACCCTTTCAGGAAATCTATCTCCATTTCTGTCTCTCACTCAGTCTCTCTCTCTCCATCTCTCTAATTTTACAGATGAGGAAACAGAGGTACAGAGAAATTATCAACTTTCCTAGGGTCTCACAGCTTGTTTGTGTCAAAGGAGAGATTTGAACTCAGGTCCTAAAACTTGAAAACCAAAACCTCCACAGGTCAACCAAGCCATGAGTGGGTGTGGCTTTTTTGCCAAAATAATGTTACACTGACCCACAGAATGCTGTTTTGACCATTTTTTCCTGGTCAAAGCTATCAAAGTTTTGTTTGCTTTTTTTTCTTCGTTTCAAATCATAAAATAATGAGAGAGGGTTCTTTCAAATGCACTTTGTAAGTCTAGTTCATGGCTGGCAGTGGAGCCTCAAGACTCTTTCTCTTTCCTGTAATCTAGAAGGTCACAATGAGCCACCAATGCCCTTGCCTCGTCTGCACATTTGATGTGCACTCAGAGGCACTTCAGACTACGCTGGCAATTCTGCAAATGGAGCTGCTGACTCAGTCTGGCAGCCACAGCCCAGACCCTTCCTGGAGCCTTTTTGTGCTTGGGGCAGGCAGCACAAAAAGGGGCAATGGGGCCCCTCAATCATCAATCAGCCAGTCAATCAATAAGCATTTACTAAATGCCTCTTAGGTTCCAGTCACTATGTGAAGTGCTTGGGATACAAAGAGAAAAATCAAACAATTCCTACCCTCAAGGATTATCATGAGATATGCCTTCAAACTAAATTGTAAGAGGAATGGACAGGACTCCAGGCCACTGGCCCTATGGAAAGACCCTGGGGCCCAGGGAGAGCTCATCTGAGAGACAGCAGAGAAGTTAACTACCTGGTCACTTCCCCTGTTATCTAATTATTATTGCTAGTTAGGCACCAATCTTGGGCCTTACTGAGCTAGAGAAGGAGTATATGTAATGTGAGCACCCTTTACCTTTCAACGCCCTGGGTAAAAGGTCCAGTTGCCCTACCCCAGGTGTGCCTCTTGCTGGAGGTGTTTGAAAAGTCCTGGTGACATGTTTGGCATTGACAGCAGCTTCCCTGTTCCTTCCTAACAGGTGGCCCAGGAAGCGGGAAGGGAACTCAGAGCTTGAAAATAGCGGAGCGCTTTGGGTTTGAGTACATTTCAGTGGGAGAGCTGTTAAGGAAAAGGATCCACAGCACAAGCAGCAACCGGAAGTGGAGTCTCATTGCTAAGATCATCACGACTGGAGAGCTGGCCCCGCAGGTACGCTGCGCTCCTGGGCTTTGTCCACACGCCCAGAGCCCGCTCCCAGCACGCGCTCAGCCTAAGGCTCCGTTCTCTGTCTCTCTCCAGGAAACCACAATCACGGAGATAAAGCAGAAGCTGATGCAGATGCCTGACGAAGAGGGGATCGTGATCGATGGCTTTCCCCGGGACGTGGCGCAGGCCATATCATTCGAGGACCAGGTAAGGAAGCCGCTTTGCTCCGTCACTGGGTCACGTCTTTCAGAAATGAAAAGCAGCCTCCATCGATGAGCTCTGGTCCCCTGCTGCAGGGTGCTATTGCCCTCCTAAGGTAGCACACGTTAACTTTCGTGACTTACGTTTTTGAAAAATGAAGCGTGTAAAAGAAAAATAGCTCAAGCATAACCAATGACCAATTCATTGCTTCTTATGTAATTCAAACATCTTTCAGCTTTCATCCCCAAACGTTTCTCTGGTATTTTTATCCCCTTACAATGAAAAAAAAATACACTTGTCATTAAATTGTTGGGTTATCATTCTCAGAAAAATGACACATTGCCCAACAATTAACTATATTTTAATCACGGCATTTCTTACTCATCAAGGGCAAGTCATCTGAATTGAATTGCCAAAAAAAAAAGAAAGAGAGAGAGAAAAAAAATTAAATCTTCAGAAATCTGTGCAGACATTGCATCTAAGTAACAGAGTTGGTGAGTTGAGGAGCAAATTTGACTAGGGCTGATCAAATATTTTTGTAACAACACAGATAAATGGGGGGCCAACTTTAACTGAACTGATTGCTTGATTGAATTGAAGCAACTCAACCAATTCAAATACAAGAAATATTTAGTAGACATCAATGGAGGAGCTGAGAAGGTGACTAAGAGCTGGCCATGGTCCTCGGGGAGCTGATGATGATTGCTTGAATCAAGCAATGCAACAAGAATGCCGCTTCAGTGGCCATTTTCTCTTGAACATAAATTCTACTGATTAGAAGGTCTAGAAAACTATGAAATCAGAAAACTGTGAAATAGCAATGACTTTGAGTCTCTTCAGACTTTTATTTCTGTGCAAGAAATTTCATTAATCTGATAATAGGTTACTTATATTCCCATTGATGGGGCATTGGGATAAATACTTGATTTTTGTTTGTGACTAAATTCAATGATATATTTTATTTTATATTATAGGCACTATTAAAAATGTTACACATTCAGCATTGATGTCAAGGATCTTGCCTTTCAAAAGCAAAGCATGACAGAGTGTTTTTAATCTCTTGGAGGTATAACAAGAACTTCTGTTCTTCCTATTCCAAGAACTGTGATATTAACAGACTTTCGTATCTCAGTGGACCCAGGGTAGCATCAATGGGTGTATGCCATTTACCAGGGCAGATTACAGCCCACCCACACCCTCTCATCATCTGCAGCTCTTGTCCATATCCCCCCTTAAACTCCCCATAAAGGTTCTACCCCCAATTCCAGAGGACTTCCTCTGGGCTTTGACAACTGGGGCAGGGGACATCCATCTGTTAGCCTTGCTTTACTTGTGTGTCTGGCCCTCCTCCCATCCTGATCAGATATTCCTTGGATGACACCTGTCTTTTCCTGTGCTGTCTCTAATATACTGCAGCCAGTTTCAGACCAGGATTTAGGGTGGTTAAATGAAATCTAAATCAGCAGTAACATATGAGAATCAGGAAAGAGACACACCTGGGGAATCGAAAAAGGGACAAGCAGCTGTACGAGTAGGTAAGCAACAGGGTCTCCTCCTTCTGGGGCTGCAGCATCCTGGCCCAGCTCCTTCTTCTGGTGCCTGGTCACCATGCTAGGCCCCATCCCCAGGGAAGGCCCTCATGGCTTCCCTCCCCTAGCTGCTCCTGAGTAAAGCTGGTGGGGGTCTGCTTCTCCTCTCGTGGGCAGGTTTTCTTCTCCATCCCACTCACTGTCTCCCCCTTTGCTCTGTTTGCTCTGGTTTGCCAACTCTTCTGTGCCCAAGCTCCTCTCAATGTCAGAGGTACTCTGGGCAGTCTCCCCTAGGTCATTCTTAAGCCTCCTCAGAGACTAGCTCATTCCAAGAAAAAGACTGTCCACCAGAAAACAGCCCCCGTCTCTCTTTGCTTCACGTAAAAGCCTTTTGGCAGAGGTTAAAATGAGGGTTACACACACACACACACACACACACACACACACACACACACACACACGTATGTATACCAATATGTATATGTACATATAAGTACATATGTGTATACACACACATTTTTCTTTTTACAAGCCTGACAATAATAATCACTGCTAGATTCCCGGGTCAGTATGCTCCCTCCTATCCTCCATAAAATCTCCTTCTCGAGTGCAAGCAGTCGAACTGGGCTCACTCCTGGAGGATCCGAGCTCCTTTTTCTCATGTCCTTGGTCCCTTCACAGCTTACAACAAGCACAGCCAGTGTCCCAGAGACAAACTTGAGGTTAAGGTTCGGGCTCATCCCTGGGTCTCTCTGAAGCAGGGGGTAGAAAGGCACCAAGCAGGCAGGGAAGAAGTGTTTCTTTCCTACATGCAAAACAAATGCTAAACACAAAAAGCTCTCTGCAGCTCAGATGGTGGAGAAGTCTCAAGAGAGGAGTTAGTGATGTTGTTTTACATTCATGGGGTGCTGGCAGCAGTTTAAGCTAAACAAAAATCAGTGCCCACCGCTGTTGCACTCTGCTGAGAGCTGAAGACATAAAGAGGCAGGAATCAGGCAGCAGACAAAGTGCATTTTAGGGAGTGCTTAGGACAGCCAAGCACTGTACAGTCCTGCAGGCTCAGGATGTAACTCCAAGCACAAAGAAAGACAGCGCCTGCCCTCAAGGAGCTTCCTTTCTAAGGAGAGAAAACAGCACCCAAAAGGAAGCCTACAAGTTGGGGGGTCAGACTGAGGGGAAGAGACACCGTCAAGGGGGCCTGAAGTCAGAAGCAGATCCAGGAGAGGAAAGAACCTTGGTAGGCCTGGCCCATCTTTTAAATGGAGGTCTTGTGTGGAGCTCCTCAGTGGGAAAAGGAAGCTGGAAGGACGAGGGACATTCCAGGGTGAGAAGGTCCTTAGGTGCTGAAGGACAGCTCAGGCAGAGCAGCCAGTCTTGAGAGCCGGAATCCAAGTCAGGAGGGTCTGAAGCGTGCTGCATCTTCCAAGCCAAGGGCATCTTTTCTAAGAGCCTGGGAGTAATTTCTGGGAGGTTCCTCTGAAGCAAAGCCAGCCCCAGACCTCTTGAGTTCATAAAGTGTCTTCTCTGCCTGGATCCATTCATCTCAGGATCAGAGTTGAGTCATTTACAATTGGGCAAAGAAACAAAAGGCCAGGCTCAGTCTCCCCTAGCTGACTCTTCCTACACTTGTCCTGTGGAGTAGTTGCCATGTGGCCAGAGAGAGGGAAGGGTCACCAGCCCTGCCTTCTTTCCCTCCGGCAAAATGTGCAAAAAGTACTCATGTGCTCTGCATGTGGAAAGACAAGAGCCCCGTGATGGAAGGTCCTGCCCAGCGACCCAGAAGTGGGTTACTTCCCATGCCCAAAGTGTCCAAGAACTGATCTCATGCACTTGACTGCCCAGAAGTAAGCAGGCGGGTCTGTGTATGCCCATTACATGCATCATCCCACCAGGAGAATGTAAGCTCTGCGAGGGCAGGAACTATTTTTCCTTTTGGTTTTTGTATCCCTAGCACCTAGTGCAGTGCCTTGAATAGAGTGAACACTTAAATGCTTGTTGGATTAGATCAGACTGGGTCCAAATACCAGCTCTGTCACTGACTACCTATATGACCACAAGTGAGTCATTTAACCCTCTGAACCTCGATTTCCTCATAAAATAGAAGCAATAGTGCCTCTTGTACCTTGTACAGGCTTATTGTGAGGTTAAATGAGAAAATGTCTGTAAAGTGTTTTGCAAACCTTAATGTGAGATATCAATGTCAGCTATGATTACCAGGGTTAGGATTCAGCCCCAGTTCAAGCAATCTGACTGTAGAGTTCCATGATCCTCAGATCATCACTGCTCCCTTTGATTTTGTGACAGAAGTATTAAGATAAAGACTTGGAAGAAGCATTAATGACCTGGTACCTTTACTGAGGCTCAGTTTCATCAATTTGCTGAGGAAGTCAAAAGCAAAAAAATGGATCAAGGAATGCCAAGAAAAGGCTTCGTTCTGAATTGTTTCTTTGCTACATGTGATTGCGATATTAATCAGTGGTGGACTAGTCATGCCCCCAAATCTACATATTCCTCATGAAAACTACTATATTGAGAAGCACAAATGATCCAATTTTATTCTTGAAATGTCCATGAGGCAGCACATGGTTCTAGGGATGCAAAGATGTCTCTCTCATAACACACACACACACACATGTATACACAAGCATATGTGCACACACACACATGCACACACATAGCTCAAAGGAGACCAAAAAGGAAAATGACAACTTTTCAAGGATCTGTGGAAGGATGGTCCCACTGATGCACTGTGGGTGGAGCTCTGAACTGGTCCAGCCACTCTGGAAGGCAATTTGAAACTATATCCAAAAGTCATTGAACTCCACATATCTTTTGAGTAAAATGATGACTCTACTCGGCACATACTCCAAAGAGGTCAAAGACAGAGGGAAAGGATCGATGGATTTAGAAATTCTTTGTAGCACTATATTTTGTGGTGGCAAAGGGCTAGAAGCAAGGTGGGAGCCCACTGATTGGGGAATGGCTGAACAGATCATGGCCTATGAAAGCCATGGATCATAGTGTGCTATATGAAATGATGAAAGAGAGATTCAGAGGAACCTGGGAAGACTGATGTAACACATAGATTGGGGCATGGTATCAATTCCTCCTATAACTCCTCTCTTCTTGGGCTGAGGCTGGCTTACTCACTCCATCTGCCACCACACTGGCAGGAGAGGGTGGTTCCCCAGATCAAAGCAGCCATGCAGGATGATTTACTGCTCGGGTTCTAGGGGAAACCCTCTTAAGGAAGATTTACATATCTACACGCACAGCTGCGGCTCCCAAGCCCCCACTGGTGTGATTCTCATTTACACAAATCAATAACAAGATACCATTACCTCTTAAACACGGAACACTTCCTGAACAAAATAGCAGGAGTGAGACTAATCAGAATATAACACTTACTCAACAAAACCCAACAGCTCACCCATAAATTTGAGTCACATTTGTGTGTTGCATGAGGCACGAGGTGAG